TTCAGCGTCACCCACGTGTTACACCCAACCACTTCCGGAGGTGAGAGGGAGGGAGGGGAGGAAGGGAGGATTGTGGGAGGAAGAATGATGGAGGAAAGGAAGGATGATAGAAGAAAAGAAGGATGATGGAAAGAAGGAAATATGATGAAAGGAAGGAATGTACGAAAAGTAAGAACAAATGACAAAGTGGACAACACAACACACACACACGACCTATAACTCCTTCACTAATGAACAAACAACACCTGTCTTACCTTTACGAACACCTGTCTTACCTTTACGAACACCTGTCTTACCTTTACGAACACCTGTCTTACCTTTACGAACACCTGTCTTACCTTTACGAACACCTGTCTTGCCTGTACGAACACCTCTCTTGTACAAACACCTGTCTTACCTGAGTTAAGATTCCCAGTTCAATTTACCGACAGGTGTAAGAGGGCGTGACAGAAGGAAGACAAACAGAGAGAAATGGAATGATAATAAGAGAGAAAGAGGAGAGGTGAAAGAAAGAGGAGAGGTGAGAGAAAGAGGAGAGGTGAGAGAAAGAGGAGAGGTGAGAGAAAGAGTAGTGATGTGAGGTGTTTTGTTGTTGTTGTTCTTTCTTCTTCATGTTGTTGTTTTTGTTGTTCTTCTTCTTTCCAAATATAAAACGAAAACAAATCACACACTAGAGGAAGCGAAGGAAGCAAAAAGCCACAAACACAAACGATAAACACACGAGAGAGAGAGAGAGAGAGAGATCCTGACACCGCCCGGTACACAATACATACGGAGAAAAATATACACACAAATCATAGAGGGTCCCAACACGCCATCCTATACAACGCCGTCCAAAATTTGCATAGTGTTTCGGAGGGAAGAGCTGGGTGGTGACGGGGTGATGGTGGTTGCTGCCATTAAGTTTACCACGAGCGATTAACACTGTCTGCCGTTGCTTCCATTCTGTTCAGGTATTAAAAACAACGCCAGTGTGGGTATTCAAGCCTGCCTGGCGTTCCTCTACACTCTATTCAGGCTTTAAGAACTTTGCCTGGCGTTGTTTCCATACTGTTCAGGTTTTAAAAACAGCGCCAGTGTGAGCATTCATGAGAACTTGGCGTTCCCCCCACTCTGTATAGAGCTTAAAAACACTGCCTGGCGTTTCCTTTACTTCAACAAGGCCTTCAAACCATTAGCCAGTATAAGCAGTCAACAGAGCCTGGTATTCTGCTTGCTTTAGAGAGAGAGAGAGGGAGAGAGAGAGAGAGAGAGACGGTGTTAGGTCAACATTCCCAAGTAACATTAACACGTAATAATGTTTTGGGCAAATGTTCACCCCACAGGAGTATCGTTTAGCACACACACACACACACCGGAAGTTCTCGCCTTAACGAAAACAATGCCAACAAAAAGGTTCTTTAGTCTTCTCCACCCTCCCTCCATCCCCCCTTCCTTCCTCCTTCTTCCTTTATCCCTTCCTCCTTCCTTTTCTCCCTCACCGCCCTCCCTCACCCTCTTTCCCTCACCTCCTTGCCTCCCCAACTCACCCTGCTTCCCTCCTTCACTAAAACAATAATACTACATCATGATCACCATCATCACTATCATAATCACTATAACCTCCATCACCATCATCTTCACTATCATAATCACTATAACTTCCATCACCATCTTCACTATCATAATCACTATAACCTCCATCACCATCACTATCATAATCACTCTAACCTCCATCACCATCATCTTCACTATCATAATCACTATAACCTCCATCACCATCACTATCATATCACTCTAACCTCCATCACCATCATCTTCACTATCATAATCACTATAACCTCCATCACCATCATCTTCACTATCATAATCACTATAACCTCCATCACTATCATAATCACTCTAATTGAGTTGTAGTGTGGAGAGAGAGAGAGAGAGAGAGAGAGAGAGAGAGAGAGAGAGAGAGTTTCCCCTGCCTTCACCTGGTTCCCATACTTTCCTAATAGAAGGCGTCACTTTCCCCAGGTGTGATGAATGAAACAAGGTGGGAGTGGGAGTGGGAGGTTAGCGCTGTCTGGGGAAGAAGAAGCAGCAGAAGAAGCAGAAGAAGAAGCAGAAGAAGAAGCAGAAGAAGAAGCAGAAAATATGTGATAGCAGTAACAAACCAGACAAAACTCCTCTCTCTCTCCTCTCCTCTCTCTCTCTCTCTCTCCTTCCAATTGAATCGAATACTTAAGTAGATATTTATAATAAGACTAAAAAAATTATACCATGTATTTTTAGAGCGCTTTCACCTGTACATGAGACGGATGATGGGGTGGGGGGGCTGGTGTGTGTGTTGTGAAGAGAGAGAGAGAGAGAGAGAGAGAATAGCTGTGAAATTCCTCAAAGGGTGTGGGCGCAACGAACAAACCTATGATATGATAGGGCCAGGTGTGTGTGTGTGTGTGTGTGTGTGTGTGTGTGTGTGTGTTTCGTGGCGTCACCTTCCTTGTCTGATCTCAGTGTCATTACCACCTGCAGCCAAAACTCAACAGGTGGGACACACTCAGTCGCACAGGTGGAATCTTAAAGGAGGGAATGTAATTAGTGTGGGAATTTCGCAGGTGTGTTGGTTAGTGTGACTCAGTGTGACAGACAGACAGACAAACAGACAGGTAGACACAGACATATCATCTACCTGTTTGATGACACTGAAAAAAAAGTAAAAAAATTTCTATTGGGAGAAGTGTTTACCCAATTTTCCCCTAATTTTGGCCCCATTTTCACCAGTTAATTATCGTGATTGACTGGGGAAAATAACTATCAATCACACACTCAATCATTGGACAAAATAGAGCGACATAGAGAGTGATAGGAGTTAATTTCTCCCCTAAATACAGTTGGTTGGTGTTAGTGGTGATTTAACCCCTTGAGTATGATGAGTAGTGAGTATGATGACTTGGGAGTATGATGACTGGGGTATGATGAGTTAGTTTTTGAGTATAAATGACCTGTTTCTTGTGTATAATGAATTAACCCCATGAGTATGATGACTTTTGGGGGTATGATGACTTAGTTCTTGGGGGTGATGAATTAGTACTTAGGTATGATGTTTTAAAGCTTTGAGTACGATGACTTAACCCTTTGAGTACGATGACTTAACCCTTTGAGTACGATGACTTAACCCTTTGAGTACGATGACTTAACCCTTTGAGGACGATGACTTAACTCTTTGAGTAGGAGGATTTAACCCTTTGAGGACGATGACTTAACCCTTTGAGTACGATGACTTAACCCTTTGAGTAGGAGGATTTAACCCTTTGAGGACGATGACTTAACTCTTTGAGGACGATGACAACTCTTTTGAGTGATGACTTAACCCTTTGAGTACGATGACTTAACCCTTTGAGTACGATGACTTAACCCTTTGAGTAGGAGGATTTAACCCTTTGAGGACGATGACTTAACTCTTTGAGTAGGAGGATTTAACCCTTTGAGGACGATGACTTAACTCTTTGAATAGGAGGATTTAACCCTTTGAGGACGATGACTTAACCCTTTGAGGACGATGACTTAACCCTTTGAGTACGATGACTTAATCCCTTGAGGACGATGACTTAACCCCTTGAGTATGATGACTTAACCCTTGAGTATGATGACTTACTCCCTTGAGGACGATGACTTAAGCCCTTGAGTATGATGACTTAACCCCTTGAGTATGATGACTTATCCCTTGATTTTAACACACACACACACAAACCCTCACCCCCTCTACACACACACCAACACACTCGTCACACTCAACCCCACTACACTCACAAACCAACTCACGCACACACACACACACACACACACCAACACACTCACACCTAAACACACTCACACACCAACACACTTAACCTGGCAAGTGTATATGCAAATGACCTGTGAATTCAGATCTGTGTTGGACCTAGACAATGGTGGTTAACGGGGCCCCGGCTGAGGCACCTAGCATCTCACTTCATTGGTGAGAGAGAGAGAGAGAGAAGAGAGAGGAGAGAGAGAGAGAGAGAGAGAGAGAGAGAGAGAGAGAGAGAGAGAGAGAGAGCTCTATAACACACACACACACACAGTAAAAAGGTTGTTTAATTAGTACCTGAAGATTAAATATATATAACAACCTTGTTAATTAGTTCACGTCTGTCTGTCTGTCGGTCTGTTTCTTCTGTTGACTTAATTCGCCGTTATCTGGTTCTCTGTCCATTCTCTCTTCGTTTCTGTCTGTCTGTCTCTCTCTCTGTCTGTCTGTCTTTCTATCAATTCATGCGACTAATTTGTTACTGTGTTAAATGATTCGTTGATTGGATGAACCTAGTCTCGTTTACCGTATTGGCTATTCCTCATTTAATCTTCCTTCTTCCGTAATGAGATTAACAGTTACGTAAATCCACTTTAATCCTCAATCGGGTAAGTCATTCTGAATCCGTCTTATTAAATATCTTGTTCTATTTCGTTAATTTTTTTGTTTCTCGTTTATTATATTCTGATTCCTTCGTTCATCTATGTCTCTCGTTAATTTTTCTTTCGATATGTTATTTGTCTCCGTTATGTGTCACCGTTGAGCCCCTCCCGTTAATTAACAGGTGTGAGGTATAACAGAAGAGAAATTAGGCTAAAGATATGTGCCTTCTGTTTGTTTGTTTTGCCGTTGGACATCTCCGTTAACAGATTACGAGAATATCAGGATGGGGATAGGGGTAAATTTGTGTTATTCCTGTTTGTTCTACCGTTGGATATTATCGTTAACAGATGATGGGCATAACGGAACAGAGACAGATACAATTCTACTTTATCTGTTTACCACACCGCTTGTCATACCCGTTAACAGAGACTAACATACAGGGTCCAGGGGATTGAAATGGTCATCCCTTTCCTTCTCCCTTCTGTTAACAGTGAAAGGTTACAACAGAAGTGAGGGGAACTAGTGAGAGGTTAAGGGAGAGAAGGAGGAAGGGAGGAGGGGTTAGAATCAGCTGTTCTCTCACAACATCTGTACTTACCTGCCCATTATAAAGGTGTTCTTAATTAAGTCGTCGTCTCCTCACGTTGCCCCAGTCCTCAAATCGACCGTGGCACCTTCAGGCACTTATTGGTACTCCTTCCCGGGGACTTACACAACGGCAGTGCGTCTTGGGAAGTACTCTTAAGCACTTGGGGGCACTTTTTCAACGGGGGTGCCACTTAGGAAATAGTTTTAGGTACCTGGGCACTTACTTAACTTAAGTGCCACTTATGAAATCCTTTTAGGGTACTTTGGCACTTGTTAAACGGGAGTGCCACTTGGAATGTTCTTTTGGCCAACACCTTGATTACGTATTCAGAAAGAGAATCAGTTCCTGTCGTTAATTACGCGAGTCTTATCAGGTGTAAATACTTCTCCTTCAAGACCAATAATTGTCGGTATTATTGTCCTTTTTATATTAAATTTGTCTTTCGTTTGGGATATACGGTAGTGGTACCTTTGAAGCTTTACTTTCTCGGTATCTCGAAAGGGCTTCGGTAGTCGTGGTACCTCTTGAGAGAAGAGGAGTGAGGAACTTCTTTATGAGGCTTCAGTAGTGGTACTCCTTGAGGCTTCAGTAGTGGTACACCTTGAGGCTTCAGTAGTGGTAAACCTTGAGGCTCCAGTAGTCGTAGCTCTTGAGGCTTCAGTAGTGGTACACCTTGAGGCTTCAGTAGTGGTACACCTTGAGGCTTCAGTAGTGGTACATCTTGAGGCTTCAGAGAGGTGCAAGACTCTCTCCTTCGTTAACCAAACACCACCAAAATAAATGACTGTCTATATCCGTCACGAATCCAAACCACAAAACACTTATTTAATTCACAACTCAATTCCGTCGTCACAGTGCAATTCCTCAGTAACTATACCAATTAACTCACTGATGGGTTAACTATACTCAACTACTCAACCACTTAATGACCTTTCAGTACAAGATGATTTAGTATACAGAGTTCCCGAAGCTTTGTCACTGCGAAGGGACTATTTTTGTCTTGGTCTGTTGAAATCACCTATTTTCTGCAGTGGGACTTGTGAGAGAGGTGTGACAGCAGCCAACACAAGCACAGTGCGACGGTGGTGTGGGTGAGACAGTGTATGTATACGGGCGGCGTGTGGAGTGTGATAGCGGCTGCACAGTGCGAGAGGTGTGAGCGGGGAGACAACACGGCCGGGAATGACGGTTTCGGCTGTCGGCACTCTGGTATATACTGTACT